AAAAAAAAAAAAAAAAAAGAACACATGCTTAATAATTCTACCATTAAACCAGCATGGTGGCTCACACCTGTAATCCCAGCACTCTGGGAGGCTAACGCAGTGGATCAGCCAAGCTCAGGAGTTCAAGACCTGAGCAAGAGCGAGACCTGGTCTCTACTGAAAATAGAAAAACTAGCTGAGCGTCATGATGGGCACATGTGGTCCCAACTACTTGGGAAGCTAAGAGAAGGGGGTCCCTTAAGCCCAGGAGTTTGAAGTTGCTGTGAGCTATGATGCCATAGCACTCTACCCAAAGCACAGAGTGAGACTCTATCTCAAAAATAATAATAATAATTATGTCATATAATTAATTTGAATACTACAGTGATCAAACTGTCCACTTTTGGGTGAGACCCTCTGGGTTCAGGTTCTCGGTTAGTGCATTTGTAATTGTGATCAGTATTATCCAAGTACCCCCCATTAAGGTTGGTCAGAGAGATACTCAGTTTAGGCTACACCCACTGCAACCGTCACAATTTCTTTTTTTTTTTTTTTGAGACAGAGTCTTAGTTGGTCACCCTCAGTAGAGTGCTGTGGTATCTTAGCTCACAGCAACATTAAACTCTTGAATTTGAGTGATCCTTTTGCCTCAGCCTCCCGAGCAGCTGGAACTATAGGCACCCACCACAACACCCAACTATAACCGTGACAATTTTCAACCCACTCTCCCCCTTTCAACCAGCAATTCTGCTCATAGAGCCCTGTCCATAGGCCTGCATTCACTCAAAGTCAAAGGAGTAGGAAGGCCACTGTGACATTGTTGTAAGGTAAAATTGAAGATAAATATATATCAGTAGGAAATTGGTAGATAATTGACATCCATTCACTTGATGGAATGCTAGGCAATTATTAAAAATGAGGCAATTTCCTGTTCAGTTATGTGAAGCTGGGTTGTGAAGATACACAGGGAGAAGCAAGCACAGGTGTGTTACAAAGTGAACAGTCCACATGTGGGACATTGTTTGTTATAATTCCATTTTCTTAAAAGCAAGCTATGTACATTTAACCAACAAAGGATTTCTACCTTGCATATGTGCAGAATTCTACTAACCAATAAGATAAAAGTCCCATAGAAAAATGGGTAAAGGCCTGACTCAGTGGCTCACACTTGCGATCCTAGCACTTTGGGAGACTTAGGCAGGAGGATCACTGGAACCCAGGAGTGGGAGACCAGATGAAGCAAGTCTGAGACTGCCCCCTACAAAAAAATAGAAAAATTAGCCAGGCATAGTGGTGCAGTCCTATAGTCTTAGCTACCTGGGAGACTGAAGTAGGAGAATCTCTTAAACCCCGTAGTTTGAGATTGCTGTGAGCTAGGCGGAGGCCATTGCACTGTAGTCTGGGCAACAGAGCTATCTCAAAAAATAAGAGAAAGGAGAGGGAGGGAAGAAAAGGAAGGAACGAAAGAGAAAATGGGTAAAGGAGATGAATAAGTAATTTACAAAAGAGAAAATCCAAAGGGTCAGTAAGATGTGCTCAGCCTCGTTTGGAGATGATGTGGAGGGTGGCTGTAGGACTTCCATGTGGAGGCCGTGTAAGGCTCAGAGTGCTGCCTGATACATAGTAAGGACTCAGTAAATATCCCGAACATCCTAAAGCAGTGGTTCTCAACCTTCCTAATGCCCTGATATATTTTCCTTGTTACAGAGGGGTTAAGACCCACAGGTTTGAAAACCACTGCCCTAAGGCATAAGTTGATGGGTTCATGCCCCACTTGAGCAGACAGGTTAGCAGAGGGGTGAGACCATCCAACCATATTTAGGACCAGACTCTTGAGGCCCTGGTCTGAGTCCCCCCTTAACCACTAGTATGTCTCCTGTTTTCCTACAGAGCCTTTGTGGCATGTGCCCGCCCAGGTCAGGCTCTCAGCCCTGGCTGGAAGCAGTGGAAGCAAGCACACCTCCAGGCAGGACGCAGCAGGCAAAGATTCCCCCAACAGGCATTCCAAAGTGAGTCTGCGCCCCACCCTGCCCCACCTGGGGAGCTGGGCTGCAGGAGTGTTGTGGGCTGGGCAACTTTGCCTGGATGTGGGCTCTGAACACGACACGTGAGCACATCTTTGACCTTCGCCATCTTCCACTCAGCACAAGGGCTCAGTATTTGGTCTGGAGTTAGAACCATCCAGGTTCACAGTCTGGCTCTAGCACTCACCAACCAGATTGTCCTGGGCAAATCCCTTCACCTCCCTGAGCCTCAGTTTCCTCATCATTACATCAGTGTGACAGAAAGGTGACCACATACTACAGACATTTATCTCCCTCTCAGTAAGTGAGCAGCTCTCCACATGTTGACTCAGGACCCAATGTTCCCTCCTCGAGCCCTGTGCTGGGTCCCTGCATCTTTCCAGTGGTAGGAGTGTTAAGGAGACAGGATTATGTTGGGGGGTTTTTGTCCCAGACCTGGAAACAGCATGCATTACTTCTGATTACACCTTGGGCAGTGTCTTTGCATCCATTCACTCAGTAGGTGTCTGACAAGCACTTATAAGCATTGGTACCTCGACGATGAAGGGGACAGACCAGGCCCTGTCCTCAGGAAGTTGACCTCCCAGTGGGGACAACAGAGAGTGAGCACATAAACAAATACATTTGATAACACCAAGAATAGTCCTTTCTGAGAAAGCAAAACAAAGCACAGTTAAGGGAAAAGTGAGTGACAGTCACCGCTGCTTTAGGATGACGTGGTCAGAGAAGACCAAATGTGGGACCAGCCAAATGACTGAGGCCTGGTGGGCTATGAGGAGAACTGTGGCTTTTCCCCTGGGTAAGATGGAGCACGGCAGAGTTCTGAGCAGAGAGACAGGCTCTAACATAGACGCTCACAGCCTCCCTCTGGCCATGTGTGGGGAATAAATGGCAGGGAAGTGGGGACTAGGAGACCAGGGAGGAGGTTGGGCTGCTGGCCCAGCGGGAGAAGGAGGCAGAACGGGAAGGCCCTGGATCTGTTTTGAAGACGCAGACAGCAGGGTGAGCTGTTGAAGTGCAGGGTCAGGGTGAGTCCATGGCTCTGGGCTTGGGCAGCTGAGACAGGGAGGGGACCAGATTAGGAGGGAAGGTCCAAAGTTCAGTTCTAGACATGTTGAGTTGGAGATGTGGGAAGCACATTATGTACATAATGTCTTCTGTCCTGAGAGACCCATGAGGCAGGGTTATCATCACTCCCCATTTTACAGGTGTGGAAAGTGAGGCAAAGAGAATGCAAATCATTTACCCAGGGTGACATGGCCAGTAAGTGGGGATCCAAGATTAGAAGCTTTCTGGGTCCAGAGTTCACAGTCAGGCCAGAGAGGTCCCAGGGCAGGAAGATTTGCCCTGTCCTGGCATCTGGGAATGACACACTTCTCTTGCCTTCCAGGGAGAACCTCAGTACTCAAGTCATTCCAGCAGCAATACCCTCTCCAGCAATGCATCCAGTAGCCACAGTGATGATCGCTGGTTCGATCCCCTGGATCCCCTAGAACCAGAGCAAGACCCACTTTCCAAGGGTGGCTCTAGTGACAGTGGCATCGACACCACCCTCTATACCTCCAGCCCCAGCTGCATGTCCCTGGCCAAGGTGCCTCGGCCAACCAAGCCACACAAGCCTCCTGGAAGTATTGGCCTGTGTGGCGGGGGGCGCGAGACTGCTGGGAGGTCCCACCACACAGACAGGCGACGGGAGGTGTCCCCTGCCCCTATGGTTGCTGGCCAGAGCAAGGGCTACCGACCGAAGCTGTACTCTTCAGGCTCCAGCACCCCTACAGGCCTGGCTGGGGGCAGCCGAGAGCCACCAAGGCAGCCCAGGTAAGGTACTACACCCATCTGGGTCCTTACTCTTCTCCTGTCCTAATCTTACAGTCCTGAGAGGTGAGGATCCCTCCCTAGAACATGCTCACAGATGCACTGATTTGCTGACAGAAATTAGGAGGCTTGGGGACCACTCCCTGCTGCTTATCCATCAGCCTTCAAGGACCCTAGGTGGAGGGTGTCTGTCTGTCTCCCTCTGTCTCAGTTTCACTCTGACCTGTCTCTCTTCTCTCTGAGCTGAGACCAAGAGTTTTTACGTCTGGAGGTCACAGACGGTATCTTTTAGGAATGCATTTGTCTGTAAGTAATAGAAAACCTTACCCACATCGACATAGACAAATATCAGTTTAGCTGTCCAGAGAGGGCAGAACAGGGCCAGTGCAGCAGCTCAAAGGAAGCCTCAAGGACTGGTACTGTGTCTGTCTGCTCCACTATCCTCACCATGCTGGCTGTGTCTCCCTGGTCTTATGATGGCTGTGGTGGCCAGCAAGTGGCAGTGCATGAGCAGAGAACAGAGAGAATGGTTACAGCATCTGGGCAGCTTCCCCCTTCTATGGAGAAAGCAAAACTTTTCCAGAACCCATTCAGCAAGTAGTGTCACATGACCATCCCAGCCATAAGGACATCTGGGAGATCAGTTTGGCCTTCTAGGCCCTATAGCTGCAATTCCCAACCCCTTGAGCCACATAGCATCACCCCCCCCACCAGAAAAATTATCTTCCATGAAATTGGCTCAAAAAAGTTGGGGACCACTGCTCTATGGTTTAAGAACATGTTTAAGAACATCCCTGGGAGGGGATGGTAGGCCCTACCTAGAGTGTCTGATTTATTAGGTCAGAGTAAAGTCCCTGGTAGAGAGGCAGGGAGAGGAGTGAGTGAGAAGAAAAGGCATTGACCAACCTGCAGCCTGAAACACGGACCACATTGAGATTGTCAAGGGTGACAAACTGCTTCCCAAGGAAAGGAAAATGCAGAGGTGGAAAAATAACTGGGCAGAGTCAAACCTCAGCCATGGACCCACTTATAGCTCTTTGGGCCAGGCAAGGCTCACTGTGCTGCAATCCCCAGTGCTGGCCCCGAAGGCCCCAGCCTCACTGCCCACCCCTGACCACACCTGGCAGGAGCCGTTATCCAGCACTGCTTGGCACAGGGGGGTCTTTATCTCCCTATGCTTCATCTCTCCAGGGCACGAGTACTCAGGCAGCAGTCTACATCCCGCAGTAGAACTGTGTGTCTACACAGATACACCTGTGTGAGCTGGGTATGGTGGCTCATGCCTGTAAACCCAGCACTCTGGGAGGCCCAGGCATGTGGATTGCTTGAGCTCAGGAGTTCAAGACCAGCCTGAACAAAAGCGAGACGCTGTCTCTACTAAAAATAATAAAACTAGCCAGGTGTCATGGCAGGCACTTGTAGTCCCAGGTACTTGGAAGACTGAGGCAGGAGTACCACTTGAATCCAGGAGTTTGAGGTTGCTGTGAGCTAGGCTGACACCACTGCACTCTAGCCTAAAAAAAAGAAATACCTCTGTAAAAAAAAAAAAAAGTAGGCTCAGCGCCTGTGGCTCAAGCGGCTAAGGCATCAGCCACATACACCTAAGGTGGCGGGTTCAAATCCAGCCTGGGCCCACCAAACAACAATAATGGCTGCAACCAAAAAATAGCCGGGTGTTGTGGCAGGCGCCTGTGGTCCCAGCTACTTGGGAGG